ATGCTTCCTTCTCAACGTAATAATGCAATGCTTACACATCGCCCTATTATTGCATGAATTTATACTAGGGTCTACTGTTCTGCAGGGCAACTTTGCTGCTGTCACCAGCTCCCTGCTGATTCCCAGGTCATAAACCCTACAGCTGCATGTCCTCTAAGGGAGGGAGCTGAGTTGTTTAGGAACTGGCGGTTCCTATTCTGGGTTAGGTGAGGAAAAGCAGAATCATAATTTAATAAGATATGTGCCCTGGATGCAAACCCCAATAGCCCCATCAGAGACACTGATGTGGCAGAACATGTCAGCAGCTGGGAAGTTAGTGCCCTCTAAAGCTGCTTCTGTCTTCCAGTGCTGCTTAAACCCATCACCACCAGGACTTGGCAACAATTAATTCAGTGGTACCTATCTGCCCCGAGTGCTGTCCCAACCTCCACATACCACTCTGAGTGCTGCTCCAACCTTAATCCCACCATTCCAGCCACCAACCCAAGTGTTGCTAGCACCCTCTTTTAAACAGTGCCTGAGGCTCATGCCCTGGTCTCCCACTCCTAGTTACACCATTGAGGAGAAGAATAAAAACAGAGGGACTGCTGTTGGTTTGCACAAACTGGGCACATCTATATGTGCAATTGATGTGCACAAATAAACACTGGAGCTTATTGCACTGGAGTTTTTTGCTCTTGCATGCGCCATTTGAATGTGTACCCAGGAGCAAAAAACTCCAGAGCAATTAGCTCCCAAGTTTATTCGTGCACAGCACATGGAGCCTGGTGAGAGTAATCTGGGCTGTCAGGGGACCCAAGAGGTCAGCCTTCCAGCCCAGGGCTGCTCCGACAGGGCTCCATGTGCAGTTGGGGGGGGGGGGGGGGGGCTGGCTGAGGCACAAGGGTGCTGCTCGTGCCTCAGCTAGCTGCTCCACCACACGTGGAGTCTTGTCGGCTCCATGTACTGTGAAGCAGCTGGCTGGGACATGGGGGTGCTTCAGCCAGCCCCTCCACAGCACATAGAGCCCTGCAGACCTGGGGCTTCACAGGCTGCAGAGCAGCTGGCTGGGGCACAAGGGTGCTTCAGGTCAGGGGCTGCCAGCTTGGTAGCCCTGTGCTTAAGCATCCTCATGCCCCAGCCAGCCCTGTCACCTTATACATGTGCATTTAAACACAGTAATTTACTGTGCTGTTGGATAGTACTTGCGTCTGACATGACTATCCGATAATGCAGTAAATTAGTCTACTCCAGCCTAATTACCATGCATGTGTAGATGGTGATTCTTTGCTGTGCAGTAAATTAATCTATTGCACAGTAAAGCACACGTATAGACACGCCCACTGGGAAGGAGAAAGAAGCAGCATAGCTCCAAGACAGCTCTGGTTCCTCTTGCTCTTCTTGTAAGAAAGTTTGAGAGGAAAATTTAGCCTGTTTCCTTTTAATGATCTGCGTAACTAGTTAATTATTGTTTCACTATCAATCCTCTTAGAAGAAAAAAAAACACCTTACTATGAATAGCAGCACATATAATCCAAAACAATATCAGAATTGGCAAGTTATTTCTTTATGGTGGGGCAGAAGGATCTTAAGACTCGGGAAAGTAGAAGTGAGGGAAGATTCAGAAATAGAGCTTTGAAAATATTTTTGGTTTTCCTGCAGGAATGAAAAGTTGGCTAAAATTTGTTTAAAATTGTACAAAACCTTTTGTTTGAACCAAAACATTTAATAGCCATTTTGTTTTCCTTCTTCAACAGCAATTAACTTACTTTTCAAATTTCATTTTTAAATTAAAAATAAAAATTATTAGTTTTAATTTTTTTCACTTTTTCCCTGCTAAAATTATGTCACACATGACATGAATGTGCAAATAGTGTTAGTTAACCAGTGTAAAGCTATTTATGTGACTAAAATCATCAACCAAAGAAAACATATCACCCAGCTCTACTCAAACTCTTTGTTATATTTTATAAAGTATTCAGATACCTAAACAATAAGTTCAGCCTACATAGTTCATATCCAACACCAGGTCTTACTACACATCTCTAAAGTGCCTAGACATCTTTAGTTATTCTAAAATATAATATTTTTAATTAGATGGCTATGCAATACATAACATATTTTGACGCTTAGTGTCTGCAGAATGTCTACTAAAGTAAGTTATAAAATTATATTAATCAAGAACTTTATAAACAGAAGTGGAATTGTTTTGAAATCCCAGTAGTCACTGACATTTAGCAAATTTCATTTAATTATGTTAGCATAACCTATCCATCTGTTAATATGTACTTTAAAAAGAAAATAAAAGAAAAAAAATCAGAGGAACTGATGTTTCCTTTTTCTAAAAAGGTTATATTGATAGGATAATAAATATATCTGTTTTTAAACAAAATTGTCAAAAAAATTAAATTCAGACATTTTAAATTTTTTTTTTCTTTATGAATAAATCCCTTTGAACTCAGTGGATCTATCCACATGCAAAAGTTACTGGAACAGATTTGATTTTTCTCTGTTTCACTGCTCTTCCTCAGTATCCTGGTCTTGGAGGTCTTGATCCTTTCTTGAAATTTATGAAGTGACATAAACCTAGTTATAGATATGGGCAACAGTATGAGTCCTTCTATCAGAATGTATTCCTATTCAGAATGGCTGAGAAAAATTCTATGAGGGGTATTTGTTTCCCAACTTATAATGTCTATTCATAGGAATATTCTCATGCATCTGTGCTCATATGACCACAAAAGTAACAAATACATGGATGACATCTCTCACACATTTGACCAATGAACTGGGCCTCATTTATGCACTTTTACCTCACAGGACCTCTCTCCTCCCCCACTCTTGGTCACATGGAGGAAGCCCTCTGCCCCCCAGCTGCTGCGAGCTGCCTCTGGCTCAGTCTCGCTCTCTACTCAGCTGCAGCAGGGCTTGGGGCACAAAGTCCAGCACACAGTGGCCTCATCCCATGCACAGATTGCAGGGGGCATCTGCCAGGGTGCGTGCAGTGGCAGGAGGCCCCCCCCCCGTCTACCTGGGTGAGCCTTCTGGGCTCTGACCCTCCCCCAACCTGGCCTGGTTGGGGCCCAACTCACCCAGGGGCAGGGGGCACGGATGGGGGTTGTCCCACTTCCACAGCCCAGCCCCAATGGCAGGGGGCGTGGCTCAGCCCAGCCACATGCGTCCCTCTGCTTCCAATTGCAGAGCCTCTGATAGTTGATTTCAGTCAGAGATTGACTGTCAGAGGCTCCCCAATCAACTAGTTGATTATGATTGACCAGTTGGTGACCACTGCTTTATGGAGACTGAGGTGATAAAAATCACTCTTTTGCACGAATGCTTTTGCATCCTCCATGGATGCAGCTTTTCAAGCCAGTTCCAAAGGCATCATATTCTACAAAATGATCAATGCATATCTATGTTACTATGGAAAATTCAGAGGATTTGAGCCAAATCCTGTAGAGCAGGGAAGCATATAAGTAGTCTTATTGGCTGTAGTATGATTCTTCCCATTCCCAACTGCTTTGCCTCCTAACTGCTTCATTTCCTATCATAGAATCATAGAAGTAGAGTTGGAAGGGACCTTGCAGATCTTCAGGTCCGACCCCCTGCCTGGGCAGGAAGAAAACTGGGCTCAAATGACCCCAGTCAGGTAGGCATCGAGCCGCTTCTTAAAGACGCCCAGGGTAGGAGCCAGCACCACTTCCCTTGGAAGTTGGCTCCAGATCCTAGCCGCCCTAACTGTGAAGTAGTTCTTACGGATGTCTAATCTAAACCTACACTCCAACAACTTGTGGCTGTTATTCCTTGTTATCCTGGGGGGCACTAGGGGAAACAAGGTCTCCCCCAAACCCTTCTGGTCCCCCCTAGTGAGTTTATAGAGGGTCACCAGGTCCCCCCTCAGCCTCCTTGTGAGAAGGCTGAACAGGTTCAGGTCTTGTAACCTCTTGTTGTAGGGTCTGCCCTGCAGTCCCTGGATTATGTGGGTGGCCCTCCTCTGGGCCCTCTCAATGTTGTCCACATCCCTCTTGAAGTGGGGTGCCCAGAACTGGACAAAGTACTCCAGCTGCGGCCTGACCAGTGTCACGTACAGGGGGAGGATCACCTCCTTGGACCTACTTGAGATGCACCTGTGGATGCACGATAGGGTCTGGTTAGCCCTGCCGACCATGACCTCGCATTGTTGACCCATGTTCATCTTGGAGTCAATGATGACTCCAAGATCCCTTTCTGCCTCTGTACTCTCAAGAAGGGAGTTTCCCATCTTATAAGTGTGCTGCTGGTTACTACTGCCCAAGTGCAGCACCCTGCACTTGTCAGTATTGAAATGCAGCCTGTTTTTGTTAGCCCACCCCTGCAACCTATCCAGGTCTTTCTGCAGTCTCTCCCTCCCTGCTAATGTGCCCACCTCTCCCCATATTTAATCCATGTAATTTAGATTAAATGTTTTCAGAGGACTGAAAGAGCACAAAATCAGCTAGCAAGTTTTCATACATTTTTCCTCACAATATTATGGATTAAGGCAAAATGAAAGTAGGACTCACTGGGTGAATCTACATGTGCAAATAATGTGGGATCAGTTTACTTTAGAGTAAACTGTCTCGGGTACGCATCTACATATGCAGGGATGCAGGAGCAGATTTGCTGCTCCTAGCAGCAGACTGTTCCCACTCCCTGCAGCCCTGCACTGGGCCCAGAACCAGATTAACACATAAGCAAACTAGGCACTTGCCTAGGGCCGTAAGTGAAAAAGGGGCCCTGTTGTGCTTATTTTGTATAATTATTGAGTGGAAAAAAATAATATAAATATATAGTATTAAGTAGGGGCCCATGAGTTTGCTTGCCTAGGCCCCACTAAAGGG